CTGCAATTGGGAGTTTCAAGAGTTGTCCACGGTCAACGCAACACAGGCGCTCGCGCCCTATTCTTGTATTATTGTAGCACACGGTGAGTTCAGAAGGGCCGTCTCCCGGAACAAGAGCGACCTTTTGGTACAAAGTGTTTATGATCAGCGAATCACAGCTAATACCTTCCCTCAATTACTAGGTCACAAGCTCATCCACACGATGATTCTTCGTAGGTACTCTTTTTTTATAATTGCTTGTATTATTGTCAACAGTGCATTGGAAACAGGTTCGTTTAGAAACAGTATTTTATGCAATTGCGATAAGGCAGGAGCAGCTCCACAAAAAATATTCGCACCATTAAGAAGATAAAAATTCTAATCTGTTGAAGTTTGCGAAGTGATAATCTAAATTTTCATCTGAAGCTGTCTTTTTTATTACACACTCACAAATTCCAGTATATGCAGTACGAGTGTGATATCTGATCATTATGGTTTTCGAAGCTGTTCTCACTAAGAAATAAATTCTAAACTTCTTTCGGGATTTTCGAATTTTTGTATCTAGACTTTAGAGACTTCTTTTTTGTAAAATTTCTGGGTTATAGCGGTTAAACAAGATAAAGTAAACCTTTCCAGTATAAGATTGAATGTATCGTTGGGTATCTGCTGCTAAAGAAATTTGGGGACGTAGCTTAGCGTATATGCTTAAGGCCAAACGGAACCGAATTTTTGAGTTTATTGATTGATGTGCTGACCAAGTGTAAACGATATTCTGAACGAACGAAACCAACGAAAGAAACGATATTCTAAACGATATTTCTAATTTTTTTAGTTGTGTATATTTGTCTTTTTTTGTTTTGGTTGCAAAAAGCAAATGGGACCCACCCCTTTTTATATATTTGGAAAGTTAAATCGTGTTATTCATCGTTACACAAACAAAACGCACTTCAAACTACACAGAACAAATGTGATGCTTTTTTGCGTTGATTACCTATGAGTCACATTTTGGTCTTCTCTTGTCTCCTTATAATTTTGATACTTTTGAGACAATTCTTTGAAAATTTTTGCGTGGCGTACTTGCTTTTGCTGCTTTTGCAATCTGGACTCCGTATCATTTCATTTTGTGGTCACTGCAGTTCATGCTCATTTCTTTTTTGGGTCTTTGTAGTTTGCGCTTTGCTACTGCACATCGTTTTGAAAAGGACTGTGCATGCTAATGAGAAAAAAGCTGCATGAATCGAAGTTTTTTACATAATGTCTCTTCCTTCCGTCTCACATGTTAATTTGATAAGGACAGGAAACGGAATTGTGTCTAGTCATTTCTGAAAGTCTGTTTGCTTTCTTGCAGAAGAAACATGTATTATTGGTTCGGCAAGAGGTCATCATGTGTGTAGCTGGAAATAAGCAGCGCTCGCGTCGGTTCACATCCGCGATGCGTTCCCGACGCGCCATTAATGTCGAGTAAATCATACAGTCCGTAAGCCAACGGCGTTCAAAAATGCAAGCTTTTGAAGGTGATTATGGTGATGCCTGGTCTTGGCGTTGCTGTGGTAATTGTGGTGGTGGTGGTGGTGGTGGTAGCGCTGCGAATGTCGGCTGATGATCGCTCCCGGTGGTCTCCTGTGCATTCGTCAGTGGGGGCTACCGATTACCGTGTGATCGAGCAGGTTCTTGGCTTCTCCTTGAAAATCGCAATGGTTTTTTGTTTTGTTGTAGGGTATGTTGTTAGGTTTCACTACATTTTTGCAAGAACGGGGCTTTTTTTATTAATGAACTACTCACCATTACGGGGAAGCCTAGTGGCCCATCTCCTCTAGATACTTGGCCAGCTCCTTCACGAAAGTGTCAACTTGAGCAAATATCTTTCTCTCGTCCTCGCAAATAGCAATTAGCACAATGGATTTTGTCCTGGCGGCGAAAAGCCCTTTCTTGTCCTTTTTGCCCCAGATGTAATTCTCCTGGGTGAAAGGCACAATGTAGTGAATTTCTTCGAGATCTACCCCATGTGC